CCAAATCGGTCACGAAAAGCCACCGTTGGTTTCATTATTTATAATTGACTCATCTGAAAACACTCCCGTGTCTGAAAGCCTGTCCTTCAAGTGCATTTTTTGCTGAGCGGTTTTACTGCACGCAGCAGGCCCAAAGGCTCAGCCAGAACTGAGTTTCCACAGTAGCAGGCGCCGTAAAGAGACATGGGGAGAAGGAGGTTTAAATCCTTAACAGTGCATTTCATCAGGGTTTCTCTTCTCCCTGCTTGCTGCTTACAAAAGGCCTGGTTTCACAGACCGTGTAATGAATGCCACTAAGCACAGAGAACTATTAGGTGTGGAACGGTTAGACTGGGGGACGATGCTGTCCTCCTAACTGGTGGAAAAGAATCCATCCAGGTGACATGACCACAGGGCATCTCTCCACCGCAAGGGTCTGTCTGTCAAAACAGCTGCCTGTTTGTGTAGATGTTCCCTATCATACCATGTCTTGGGTAACTTTGGCACAGCAAAAGCTGGGAACTCCTGCCATGGCAGAGCAGCTGGGCACTTCCTGTGCTTTCTCACCACCCCTAAAAGCTTCCAAGAGGATGTGTTTCTTCCCCAGAAGCCAGGGCTTAGTTTGAGCGACTGTTTCTGCACGCTTGGTACTTCAGAGCCACGGGGTCCGGGAGCCCTGCACCTGGGTTGGCACCGCTGCAGCAAGGAGGGCACCTTCCCTTGCACGATGCTCGCCAGACGGGCAGCCACCCTTCACCCCGACAGCAGGAAAGCGCCTCGGCAGCGCTCGCCCCCATGGCGAAAGAGAGAGAAAACAAGCAAGAAAGCAAGCAGCACAGCACCTCGACGTGCTCCCCGTGCCCTGCCGCGTCCCCGCCACGCGCACCTACTGGGCATGGAGGCACCGGCAGCGCTGTGGGAGTTTGACAGGGGCCGCTCGGAATTGGGAGCAACCTTCCACCCTGGGAAATGATTAAGCGAGCGCAGGGCGCGCCATGACCCCTCGCGCGCAGAGGGAGCGCGGGGGGCACCGGGTGGGCGCCGAGGGGGAAGGGGCGCGCGGAGCAGCGGCCGCAGCCCCACGGATCCGTTACCTTGCGGGAGCCGGCGGGGCTGTCAGCGCGCGAGAGGGCAACGGGGAGGCAGGACCGAAAGGTGCTGGCTATTTAAAGTGTGCAAAGAAAACTTGTGCCGTGGTGTAATCCTAGACTTCGCCCAACCCACATTCCTTCCCCCACCCCCCAGGGCTGGACAAAACCCTACACATGACTGATTTCATGGCCACGGCGAAGGGGCTCGTTCCCCGCCGCCTGCAGGAAGGTCTCGCTTGGCCTCCGCCAGCCTCTGCTGAGGCCACACGTCCCCATCCTGCGAGAGCCCCGTCCTGGCCTCCCGCACCCCTTCCCACGGCGCCCGGAGCAGGACTCCGCTGTGCAAATACATCCTGCTAAAGTCCGCTCCTCGCCACAGGTCCGAGGCGCAGGCACAACGCCACCATCTCTGTCCCCTCGCGCGTCCCTCCTAACGGGTGGAAACTTTTGTTGCACTTCTGCAGTCCTGGGAAATGGCCGCGGCATTGGTGATACCAAGCGGCTGGGCAATAAAAAACAACTGCAATGCAAGCAACACAACGCGCAAGGGAGAGAACAGCCCCCAAGATCTGCACAGCCGGCGCAGGGCTGTAAAATCAGCTATCGCCGCTTGAGAAGTTCCTGGTCTTCTCGCAGCTGGTTATCTGCAGGCGTTAGCTCAGAGGCCATAAAAAAGGCAGAGTACTGTTCATAGTAGGCTTGTGCTAGAGCTGCGATAGTCCACGGATATAACTGAGTCAACGGCTTTAAAATATTTTTATTATACCAACTGAGCAGTACCTGGAGTAAGAGAGAACAAAACCAAGCTTGTGGCTCCAGAGCCCTTTTACCAGGCTTGCAAAGCAGCAGCAGCAAAACCCAGACTGCATACGGACCCAGGCTCCTTCTAAGAGTTATGAGGAAATGGACAGGAACAAAACTGCAAACATCGCCGTGTCACCATGCTAAGCTAAGGTGTCCCCACGTCCACACAGCGCTGGGCTCTCTAGAAAGTAAAATTACGAAAGAAGCAGAAGAGGCCCAAGGTCAGGCAGAGGCAAGAGGTGGATTCCAACCAAGGAGTTGGGAAGAGACAACTAGAATAAAAACAGAGAGATAACAGAGGTCTAGAAAGCAAGGAAACAAAGATGATGAATATACCATGCACAACGTCTCATAATGTAACTACTAATGCCATCCAATGAAACATTCAGATTTAAAACAAAAGGAAATACATTTTTCCCCTCCCACTACACATAATTAATTAAGCATGGCACCCATTGCCACAGAGTATCGGTCAGAAAGGAATAGACGCATTTTCAAAGGGCTGTTCCACAACAGCTATTAAACAGGATGGTCCAAATAAAACACCCAAACCCAGTCCTTAAACTGGAGATTGTCAGAAATGAGGAAACTCTCCCAGCAGCAGAGTTATGCTGGAGGATGAGCATCAGAGAACATCCCTGCAGGGTTACAATCTGAGTGTGACTAGCATCGCTGTTAAGCAGTTAGAGCATGGACACGGGGATTAAAAAGCAAGAGAGAAGCCAAATAACAGCTTGCCTTGTGCAATGGACATAAGAAGAAAAGACATAAAGTATGGGGCCATTTCTGGAAATTCTCAAAACTATTGTATGCCTCTCTGTTGCTACACGGATATCCCTGGATAACAACAATAGCTGCTCTGTGCCAATGACAATATTCTTATCAGCAGCTTAAGTAGAAGATGACAAGCAAATTGGCAGGCGCTAATAGAATGTGATAGGAAACTGTGTAATCAATAACAAAGTATTAGACTTCTGCCCAGTCAGATAAGACTGCACCGAAAGCAGCAATAAGTTAAAACTGAAAACAAAAGTTCAGTGTAAACATAACAAGCATCAAGGAGAAATATTGCATCTATCAGTGTGAAAGAAAATCCTGAGTGAAGCATATTTAAAGGAAAACAACACTTTTCATGTCTTCTGGGGAAAAACAAGAAAAAAAACATATGGTTCTGGGAGATGGTACTTGATAGATCTGAGAGCCTAAAAATACTTTATTTTACTGAATAGAAAAGTAAACTCTTTACATCTCTCTCAGAGAAGAGAAACAATAAATATCACAAAGAATGAGTTAAGTCAGATCAGGCAAAAGATGAGTTCAATACACATTTTTGAAATTGCAGAAGGCAAGAAAGGGCCTTTAACCAGCTCGTCAGAAACAATGAAAATCTATAGGGAAAAATGAAGAGTGTGAAATTAAATGTCTAAGATTTTGAGCTTGGAATGATATCTAAGACAAATGGAAGACGTGAGACAATCAGAAGCAAAATTCTACGAGTTCAATTTGCAAGAAACAAGTAAATAGATGCAGAAGAAAGTGAAACTAAAAAAATGAGCAAATTATGTGCATCCTGTAGTAATAACACAAGAATAATTTCATCCTCAGACCTACCAAGATGACGCTATTTAAATATATATACACATACGTATACAAGCACATGCACGCACGCATACACACATTCATATCTTTAATTTATAGGGATAAGGAGAAGGAGAAGAGCAAAGTAGGAATTTTGTACCATGCCACCAAGGGTCACACATCTGCAACCCGGCCAGGAACCTGCAGAGCATTTTCTCTTGGTGTCCCAAGGGCTGCAGAACGTTGGCCGTTGTGCTGCGACTTCCTAAACGCATCGCCAGGGTGCCACCCGCTGCGATGGCACCAGTAGGTTTGCATTACCAGCAGTCTCACCCTATCAAAGGCAGGAACCGGGCGCCTGCGCATTTAATCATCCCCCCAGCGTTGCTGCCGCTCAAGACGGCGCTGGCTCTCGTGGCCGTGCTCCTCCGAGCGCGGCGCCAGGCTGGTGAGCACTTACCTGCCGTCACCTCTTCCTGCCTCCGAGGTGATTCCTCCCCAGGGAGGCTCTGTGGCTCCGGCATCCCCGCAAGCCGGCGCGGGGGCAGAGCACTGCCGCTGCTCTGGGCAAACGTGGGGCAGATCCGGCTTCGCTTGCTCCCCTGCTCCCCTCGCCACGCAACCATTTTGGAGAAAGGGCTACCAATTCCTCTCCTCAAATCGAGGCTCCACTTTGCTCATCTTTCTGTATACGACACTTACCAAGATTTCCCTCTTCAGTTTTGTCCCATTCTTCCACTAGTGGTGGAGGTCATGCTGCAAGAGAAGCATTCCCTGCCAGAATGTGCAAGCCTGGGACAAGCTTTGCCTGGAGATAAGTAGATACATTTAGTTTTTATGGGTCAGATGTGCACAGGAGCTGGCCCCAGCCACATCCTGCACAACCGACACATGCAAGCGCTGGCCCTGGACTTGCTCATTCTGGTAGGAAGCCACAGAAAGTCCCCCCGGATCTGCTCTTGCGTCACGTTTCCACCAAGCCAAGCAGCAAAATAGCTCACGCGGGTTTCTTTCCTCCAAAGCACTCATCCACCTCCAGCCACCCAGAGAGGTGGCTCAAACCAGGAGGAGGGAAGGTTCAGAGCCAGCTGCTTAAAGCAACAATTAGAGAGAAAAAAAAAAAGAGGAGAGGAAAGGTAGTGACTGGGAGAGGTGCGCAGTCTTTTACCACAGTGCAAGCAGCAGTGCCTTTCCAATGAACTTACGCTCCTAATCCCCTGCAGCGCTTCCAGGAGCGCGGCCGGGAGCGCTTCCAGGAGCTCCCAAGGCGAGGAGGCCGCCAGCCGCGTTTGGCCCTTGCTGCCTGGGGAGCTGCAGGCGGGAGGCAGGTAGGCGCCCCGCGTTCGCGTTCGCGTCCACCTCCCCCCCGCCAGTCGTGGTGAGTGCTCGAGAGCCGCGTAATCTTGCAAGGCACCTCCCCACTTC